AAATCCGGTCATTAACATTTAAAGACCAGCCAAGCATTCTGATATGTTATTCCCCTGATATTTTCTGCTACTGTTCTAATAACATTTTAATCCACTTCTTCCCATAGAGTAGACTTCTTCGAAGAAATCGTTTGTCAATGCCTCTTTGACCACGAGTAGCACATTACCGGTAACTGCATCAACGATGCCTCCCTCTGTGTATGACCTATGGAACGAGGAGGAAGAAACAACAGACATTGAGATCATTTGTTTTCTACCAAACTCCATTGTTATCCCACTAAAATGCAAACGTGATGCAACTATCACATCAATCAAAAGAGTAAGTAGAGATAATTCAATTTTCAGAAATAACTGAAGGTAGAGAGGCAGCAAACAATTGTATGAAAAGAATGTAGAAAAAGGAAAAGTGGGTTACAGCCCCATTTCTTAACATACATGTACATCACATGTAGATTGCACGCACAGTATCACATCTTAGGAATAATGTAAACAAGATGTGATCAAGGTGATATGCAAAACCTGGTCATGAAGTGCCACTGTACCGGTAAATGATTTAAACAGAAAGAGAAATGGACCTGACAGTGAAACAATCTTAAATGAGCTTTAGTAATTAAAAGTATCATGTACATGTAAGCATGTTAACCAGAGCCAAAGACACCTGCACATACTACCTGACATTTTTATTCCAACATCCTAATACTGTAATTACAGGTGTTATAATTATTGTATATAAAGTGTGTTAATGTTTATGTATGTGTGTTTGTTTTCTTTTCACTGATGTTTCTGTTGAGGTCAAATAAATTATTATTTAGTAATAATTTGTAATAATATTGTACACTTGTACATGTGTTGGCCAAGTTGTCTTGCTGTAGTGTCTAACATCACCTTATGATGTTGTCGTTTGGTTTCAGGATCTTTGGAGAGAGGCCAAGACATACCCTCTTTATCAGACTCTCCTAGATCTGAACTTTTACATCTTCCAATGCGTAAATCAGAGTGCTGAACAGGAGGAGTTGCTAGATGGTAACCGACGTCTCTGTGATGTTAAACCATTCTGGCCTATGCTTCGTGTTGTCCGTAAAGCCAGTGATGTGGAAGATAAGGTCTTAAATTCCAAGATTGGGCTGCTAATTGGCAAGAGTAAGCAACTTGGAGAAACTGATTGATTACATCGTTGTTTTTGTATGCTGCAGGAATGTACCAGTACTTGTACTCATAACATGGATTCTCCTTTTTTTGTGGATTCATGAGTTAGCATTAGAATTACTTAGTAACGTAACTATTTGGTCAAGTACGGTACATGCACATGTACAAGTACGTACTGTACTGTACATGTATTAGTGATTAACTGTACTTAGATGCACCTTGAAGAATGGTTTCCTATCAGTGGTCCAACCAACAGCTCTTTAATCTTTGAAACAGATGTTCAAAACTCCATCGTTCATGTATGCATATTTGCTATGGACCGGAATGCTGTTTAGCTGGAAATGATCTACTGCATAGCAGTAAATAAGTAACTCCGACTGGGTCCTGATTCTTGGATTTGCCATCAAATTCTAATTTTCAAAAGAGAAAAAA